AAATATATTAATATCAAATCGTACAATAATATATTATATAATACTAATATATAAATTTTATTGTATAAATAATGTTATATTCTTATCAAATGTAATAATACATATAATTAAATTAATGTATAATATTAATAATAATAATTCAATATTTTACTATGTAATATAAAACAAAACTTGTTAAGTTTGTGGATTATTTTCGATTCGTTGGTGGAACCTAGGCAGTACTGTTGTGTGTTACTGATAAAGCTCATCAAGGCAGACAGAATGTGGAAATAGTAAATGGCCATAGTGAAGCATTTACAAGACCACAATCTTTGCATCACATCAAACAGGGTCCAGTCAAACACACACATCGAGAGGAGCACTTCCGATTACGGCTCATTTCTCCACAGCGTGGTGTGTTAAACTCTCTCCATCTCTTCACTCAATGGAGCATAGCTCATCTGAACACTGAGCAATAATGAGGCACAGAGATGCACTTGTGTGTCTGTGTGAACCAAAGCGAGTGAGCGAGAGAGCTCTGCAAGAGGAGGGGGAGAGAGAGGCTATCCATTTCCTCCCTGGGGCAACTCCTCTTTGGCTCTTTGTTGCTGAAATGCTCCCAGTGAGCAGGTTACACGAAAGCCTGCTCTATTGTCTTAAACAGCTGTGCGTTGCATGCTCTCTCTCTCTCTCTCTATTGCTCATCTTTTTTTTTCAGGTTCCTCAATCAGGGGCAGTTTCAGAGATCTCTAAAAGCAAAAGCCTGTGGCAGTGCTCCCCCTCACCCAGACACACACACACAAACACAAACGGATCTGCTTCTGTTTACACTGTCCCACAGTAGGGGGTCTTTCCTGATTCAGCTACTTTCTGGTACTTCATATGGAGAATGCAGATAAATAGATTCATATTACCATACATCGCAGATAACTAAGAAAAACAAGAAAAACAACAACAATAAGAAGCCATGAAAGACAAAGAATAATAACTATAGCTGATTGTATGCTGAATAAGAACAATAAGAAAAAGATGTTCTAGATGCAGTATACAAAGTCAAAGCTCTGACATCTAACTGTATGAATCTGTCTTGTATATTTCAACATACAGACTGCTAAAATTATTCACAAAAATTGATGTGTATTACAGTACAATGGTCTTTTGTAAATTGATCTCAGTGTAGAGACTGCTCATAGGGGCTTATTTAATCATGTTGTAAAACTGTAAATCCGTTGATTGGATATTTGTGGGGACAAATACAGTAAATATGTGTATATCTGCATTCAGGAGAAATACCCGAATAGCATGTAGTTGGATAATATTGAAAACTCTCTGATATGAATCAATTAGGGGAGACAGGAAAGGAAAGTGTTAGTCAACCTCTGTAACTAAGTTACTTGTTACTTGTAATTTGTGTGTGTGTGTGTGTGCGTGTGCTATATGTCTCAAACTTTTTATAATATTCTATATTTATCTTTTGCAAATTAAATTAAATTAGTATGTCTAAACTGTATAAATTAATGTCAGGTACAAATAGTGCTGTTGTTACACACTAGCAAATTGATTGTAATACTTTAGAAAATTTTGAAATGTACAATTTTGTGAGTTAAACTATAATTTGTTGTGGTATTCCAACTGACTTGTTAATAAAATAATAATCATTATGCCATTCCCATCGCAACCTATCATAATTACTTCTAGAAGTTTAATTTAAATGGTAAACAAATAGAAAATGGTTAAATTCTGAACAGCAAATAAAGTTGGAAACAATAATTCAAATGCATAAACATAACAAATAGTGTCTGCTGGTCACGCTCATAATTTTGGCAAGATCTTATAAGACAGAACTAATATCATCTTGATCAGTAGGTTCTCTTGTTTAACTTGACATTCTTCATCAGTATTTCATTTTTCACACAATCGTGCATGTTTAAATATCATAGAAATATGACTAGCAGACAGGAGGGGTTAAAAAACGTTCTAGTGTTTTTTTTCTCACCGGACACCAATTAAAATCCATCAATTATATGACTAAGAATACATTTTTATTATTTTTTTTTCCACAATTTTTTTTTATATTTGTATGTTTAACAGAAAAACTTACACGTTACTGTCAATTCATGAGAGTGATGCACATGTAGGCTACAGGCCTACTGAATCAACTGTCCTACAAGAAAGAAAGAAAGAAAGAAAGAAAGAAAGAGGCGCAGATGACGCACCATGTAAACTAAATTAAAAGGAGTTCTATTACAGCCCAAGAATAATAAGCAAGAACAACAAGCTGAAAAACAAAGAAAAGCCATAAAGGACATTAGGCGCTGAGCTTTATATAACATTTGAGTGAATATTTAATGGGCAGAGAGATAGAGAGAGACTCTAAACTTTCATTAAGCAGGGTATTTCGCTGGGAGGGAATTTCGGCGCCTTTCACTTTTTTTCTTGGCTTTTATTGCAATAATACAGATATCTCTCTGGCTCCCAGCCCCTCCTCATTCAGCCCATTTCCTTCCCGCCGTCTCTCTCACTCTATGCTTTTTAAAATATAGTAATAAAAACATACTAGATCCTTTTTAAATGCACTATTACTTATCATGGTCTTTTCATATCGTAGCATCACAGGTGTTTTAAAGCCGCTATAAAAGTGCGTCATTTATTATTCAAAAGCAGCGTCGTCTTTTTGCATATTATCTGAGCGCTTTTATACTGCGGGCTGCCAGACTCCCATTTAAAATGTTCGGCAGAATTGATAACGGCAGACACGCGCAATAAAAACAGCGCCGGGGGCAGGGTGGCACGCGCGCCCGCTCATATGCAGATCCCGGTAATTACTCCAACAATTCGCCAACCATTCCTTTATTTGCTCTTTGAGCGAGGGATTTCACGCTTTTAATTCAGTTTTCATCAATCCTTTGATTCTCGGCTGCTAAATTGTTTGCACGGGTCAAAGATAAGAAAGTGGGTCCGAGTTCTCCTCCGGCGCCCTGCCAGGTGAAACCGTTTGTGTCCCTAGAATCGGGATGTTTATGAGTGCATTTCATACAGCGCAC